AAAATACTGTACTTACATCATTTCATAAAACTTCTCAATACCAAGGAAATCTTTGTGTAGTTTCTATGTCAGGGACAGAATTCTATACATGTAAAGAAGGGGTGTTAGAGTATCTTGGAATGGTTCCACAAGGAACTGAATGTAATGGGAAAACACTTACTTTTACAGACTGTTCAATGCAAGAAAATCAAGTTGTATTTTCTACAACAGATGGATCAGTTCTTTTCTTTGAATATTCAACATTAGATCAACAAGCAATTATTCCATTGATTCAAAATGCTATTGAATCAATTAAGTATACACAAAACAATGGTATGTTATATGTTATTGATACAAATGGTACTTTCTTTTCTATTGAAATTAATAAAACATTATTTAAAATAAAAAAGTGTTATGCTAAAGAAGATCTTCATTCATTTATTCCAATTTTTGATTCTAAAAGAATACAATTAATACCAACACTAAATGGATGTTTATTATTAATTAATGGTAATGTATTAGAGTACATTAAAGATATTCCATCATTATATCTTTACACTATTTCTGATGCTCAACATGCATGTTCAATTAATGGTAAAACATATGTTTGTACATTAAATGGATTATATGTATTTACTCAATGTGATAATGAATCAATTCAATCATTTAAATTAACTTCTCCAACACCTGCAATTAAAACATTAATACAACCACCTCAAGTTGTTATATTTACTTTAGATTCAGTTCATTTAACACAATTACCAGTAGTTCATTCTAGACAAACAATAAATGCTCACAAACAATTACCAATTAATTATAAATTATCAAGAATGTCACATGAATATACTTTAATCAACTTAGTTTTTGGATCAGGTAAATCTTTGTATGGTATTGATTCTAATGGAAATATTTTTTATTCTTCAAATATTAATCAACAAGAAACAACATTATTTGGTAAAATTAATGTTTATCAACCAGGGTATGCTCTTTCTTATATTTTACCAAATAATTTATATGGGGTTTTTGGTATGGGTGAAAGCCTTGAAGTTGCACACCTTGAAACACATCAACACGTTACTACTGCCTATCTTTCTTCTGATAAAAAACCTGATGAATGTATTACTTGTATTGATGGAAATAAACTTGACCAATCCATTTTTGCTGTTGGATTTTATAATGGAATGGTCGCTACTATTAATACAGAAAAAGTATTATTTAAAACATTGTATAGCCATTCTCATAGAGTTGTAACAATCAAATACATTGAAAATACAATTGCTTCATTAGATGAAGATGGAAATTTCATTATGGAAGATAATCAAGGTAAAATAGCTAATAGTCCTATTAGTTTTGATGTTTTTGGAATGACGTTATTAGTTGTAGAAACTAATTCAGTACAACTCATTAGTCTCAATGATTTAAGTGTTGTAGCATCATGGGAGATTAATTCCAATATTATTGATGCAAAGTTTTCAGTTTGTTTTATTTGAATTTCTCAAGATAAATAAGTGAAAATTTAATATTGTTTAGTGTGATGGTATGCATGTTGTTGTTGTTTCCAAAGAACGAATCGTTATTTTAAAAAGTAATGACTTGGGTGTCTTAAATTACATTTCAGTTAGTTCAATGTTATCTACTTTAAAATTAAACGCTGAAGTTCATTGCATGACAATCTCAAGAGAAGTGCCATGCCAATTTGCAATGTCTCTAACTGGAGGATATTATATTCTAATTGAACCAAAGAATTATAAAGAATGGAAGTATTAATTTATCAGTATATTTAATTCAAGTTAAGACTCTCTTCTTGATATTTTTAATGACACATCTCTTCTTACCTTAAAATTAAACTCACTTTAAACAAAAGATATATCAAAAAAAAAGGTTTTAAGTCATTAAAAAAACCTACCCTTACTAAAAACATTGACCAAATATCTTTAATAATTGGTTGTACTCTTTAATGATAGTTCAGGGACTTTAGTCAAAATTTAAAACAACCAAAAATTTAATTATAGTTTTTGTTATGACAAACCCATAATTTATTAATTCTGTCTTTGCCATCATCCAAAAATTCATTATAAATGATTCTCTTATATTATTTTTATAAAGAAATTTATAATACCAATAAAAAAGCTAAAATTCTAAAAACCCTTCTAAATCTATAATTTGAAAAATAAAGTATAGGTGTATAAAAATGAATTTAACCCCTAATAAATTATCAAGAATAGATAAGACATTTACCTATTTAATTCTGTTATAAAATAACTACCCAGAACATAACTATTATTCTTAGTGTTTACAAAAATGAAAAATACTTAACATATATATTATTGAAAATAAACACTGCCCTTCTCTTAAACAAAACAACAATAAAGTTATAATTTGTACTATAAAAAAATAACTTCATCATTTAAGAAACCATTTTGTGTTTCATAACTAGAGTTTTTGGTTTCGAAAAAACTTAGTACTATTATTTTTATATGTCTTATACAAAATTATCATAATTATTAACTTTTTAATGAAAAGCAAGGAGAGTCTACATTTGGTTATTGTTAATTTCGTATCATTATAGTATTGTTTCAATTTATAAAATAACTACAAATGGTTTTCTTATAAGACTTATTCATCAAAGAGTTAATGAAATCAATATATTGTGATGTTGTCTTATCAATCTTCTCAAAATAAAAACAAAATAAATTAAGTTGTTATTTTGAAACAACAATACAAACAATACCACCAATAAGAATCAAAGTTCCGATGGCAAAAAATAGAAAGTTTTTCCATCCTCTTATTTCTCCAAAGACTATGATTCCCCATAATGCAGACAAAAGACCAGGGCCGGCACAAATTAATGGATAAGATACAACATAAGGTAAGTTAGTATTAGCCACAAACCAACAAACTTGTGCAATAGCCCACATTATTCCGCTGACCATTCCTGGAAGTATTGTTTCCCTGTAAATGAAAGGCTTATTTCGAAACGTAATGATATAACAAATGAAATAAAATGTGGAAGACAAAAAAATCCCCAAGAAATGAGCCAACACATAGTTTATTCCTTCTGGTGAAGCAAGACCATTGTCTTGTAAATACTTTGCTGGGTCAAATGCAGAACCAAACAATATTCCTGAGGTAATAGCTAGTATTAACCCAACAATCATTTGTAACCATTTTGGCATTGCTTTTAATAATTTGAAGATTGGAGACTCTTCTTCTGAGACTACAATAATGGTACTCTTTTCTTCTTCGGGTTCTTGTTCAAATGCTTTGTCATTTAATTCTTTAATATCTTCTTCTGGGTGTTGAATTTCATCACTACTTCTACTTGAAGTAGAAGAACTTTTAGATGTTTCAGCTTTATTTTCTTTACTATTTGAGAGTTCAATTTCATTGTCCTTAGCTTCTTCTTCTACTTTTTTCAATGCCTCTCTTTCTACTTTAGTAGATGTCTTAATTAAAGCATAACAAGGAACACTACAAGCTGCCAATGCAGCACCAACACAATTAAGCCAGAAAATTTTTACATTGTCTTTATCAGAATTCAATCCAAACCATCCAAATGTCCCAGTTAACCATCCCATAACCATGTTTCCAACACCCCAAATGCCTGGGCCAAGTGAAAGCCCTATCAACTGAATCACTGGAACACAAAGTAAGTTACCAGTACACCAAATTAACCCTCCTAACATAGCAAATGGTTCAAAGTAAATTGTTCCTTTATTAATAACATTGTAGAACAGTAGAGAAAAAATCCCTACAATAAGAATCCCAATACTCATTACCCATTGGAAGAAAAACCCATCCCCTGTTGGAAATTTCTTCACTACAGTGAAGTTACTACCAAAACATAAAACAGCAACTATAACACAGACATATCCTAAGGCTTCATTCTGTTCATCAGCCATATTTTTCACAATCTTTTTTTTTCTCAAGAGAAACTTGTTCTTAAATGATTATATCTTTTCAATATAAAAAGATACGTTAATTATCAAAATTGAAAATAATTTAAAATCTTTTTAAAAATAAAAGAATAAAAAAAAAGAAGAAATGAATTAAAAGTCTTTGCCATAATCATATTCCATTGTTGGAATGACTGTTGCTAAGAATTTTAAGAAAATCATCAAATAAAGATCAACCCTTGGTGTTTTTCCATCAGCAATCATTTCATCAACACGTTTTTTCATAACTTGTGCATGTCTACAAGGGTGAATATAAATTTCTTTGATATCCAGGAATGGGTGTGTGTCTGTAGTAGCTGTTTGACCAGCGTGTGTGGCACTTAAATCTTCAAACATCTGATTCTCAGTAAGAGGTTTATGATCTTCATCATATCCGAGTAACCATACTTTAGGAGTTCTATCAAAATGTGAGTAAATAATTGAGATGTCATATGTCCTTGTTTTACCAACATCAACAGTTGCAACAGTATCATCAGCTTCTTCTGATAATTCATCTGCGTCAACAATATCATCAGCATCAACAATTTCATCGGAATCTTCTTCAAAAACTTCTTCTGGTTTTTCTTCTAATGGAACTTCAAATTCTTCTCCATCTACAATAAGAGTTTCAGTTTTAGTTGGAGGACCTCCTTGGGCTCTTGTTGCACATCTAATGTTTCGAGTAATTAAAAATTGCTTATCAGCAGGGAGATAGTCTACAGTTTTTTTACAATCTGAGGCTCCAACCCATTGCCATGTTCTGTATTTATTGACAAGGAAATCTCCTGCATTAACAAACTCTTCAGGAGTTAAAACACCTTTCTCAATGAATTGACTTTCTGTGAGTGTTGGTTTTACAAGATCAACTGATTTTGTATATGTCTCATAAGCCTTTCGTTTAAGTGTAGAAAGTACAGACATCTTTTATTTCGTTTTTAAGAGATTTTTAAGTTCCTTTTTTGTTTATTAAATTATGTTATTCTCTATAAATTATTTTTTAATGGTTTTTTATACTATTCTTCTATTTGCTTGTTTTTTGAAAATATAATGATGCTTATTTCTTTAATCGAATGAATAAGGACTTTTATAAACAGAAACACATAAAACAATTGATAAAAGAGACAGTGAGTAGTATATTTAAAATTGTTAATATGAATAATCTGATAGATATCAATTGTAGTATATGAAAAGAATAATTAAAAATAATATAATACTTAAAATAGTTTTTTATTTTTACTGAAATATCAAAACAAGTTTTAAAATATATATTGAGAATATATTACAAAGTAAATTAAAATGAATAGATATTAGAATTTTTATTATTTGACATAATTAAATAGGATAGAAAAGGTAATGAAAACACTCTAACTGATAATAAAACGAAAATAATAATGAAAACATATCAATTAATATATAAATAATGTGTAATTAATCTCTGTTCATTCTTACTATTTAATAATTTAAATAACATGTTGTTTATTATTATTTTAAATTTAATGAGTTAATCAAAAAAAAAAAATTAAAATGAGTTTATTTTTTTTCACAATTTTATTTATAAATAAATAAATTTAATCTCAAATGTTCATTTTTATTTCACTTTAATTAAAAGATAAATTAAATTCATTTTATTTAGATTACAATAATTTGTTAAATAGTGAACTTCTTTTCCACTAGCATATTTTCAAATTCTTTATATTCAAATGACTATTGAGTAAACGTCACCCTTTTTTAAAACCTTCTTTACCAAAATGAATACCACCATATCTAAATCCAAACAAACAATTTTTTTGATTAACTTAACAAACAAAATGAATACTGTAAATTTTTAGTATTAAATTTTATCATTTCATTCTTTCTTCCTTTTGGTTCTAATGAAACTAAAAATATATTTGGATCATTTATAAAACTACCAACTTTATCAATTTTCTCATTAACGTATCATCAAAAACTATTTCTAGATGTTTCTTCAATAATAATTACTACTTTCTGTATATTACTATTTCAACAAATATTGATTTAGTTTCATTCTGACTATCAATCTTTGAATCAAATATTATATTTCCTATTTTTCTTTTTGTCCATTCTTCTATGTAATAATTTTCAATTTTTTTAGTATATTCTGGAAATCTTAATATTTTATCTTTGATACTCATTTCTTCAGTTGAAATAGTTTTGTTTGTTAGTTCTTCTTTTGCTTTACCTAATACTTATTCATCATTCCAACGTTCTTCTATTATATCGTTCATTTTATTTTTCATTATCTATTTTATTGATGTTTCTTTTCATTTTTTATTATCAATCTTCTTCTAACTAATTATCAATCATATCAATTACTCATTTTTATCTTTTTGATAATAGCTTGTTCATTCATTTCTTCTTGTTTTTATTTCAAGTACTTCTTTTTTAATACTTCCTAAATAATAATAATAATATTTAGTAGCACCATCAATTGTTTGTTGAATACTTGGAATTGTTTCTATGATTTCTTTAATTAAATGATTATTCAACATTTCTTCCATATTTATTTAATTAATATAAGATCAAAATAAGATAATTAAATAATTAAATAAATATGTTTTGGATTATAAATAGTATATATAAAAATGAAAAAGACTCATTAGAAAGTTTAGAAGTCTTTAGAATTTAAAAATATACTTTTAGATGTTCATAGAGAATATTTGAACTCTTTTTTGTAATTTTTATTCTGTTACTTATTTATTTTTATTTCTATTGAAAAATAAAAAGTGTGTATTTAGTTTTAAACATATTCCAGTTATTTAAAATTAAATTAACTTTTTCATGGTAAATTTTTTAAAACAAAATTTATTTACTTTTATCTTCATCTTTTTTTTATAAAAGTTGAATGATTAAAAATAAAAATAAAAATAATAATAATAACTCTTAATATAATGATTTTAAACAGAATGATATTGTATACTATTCATAGTTATTGCAGTAATTTATTGTATTTTTTATAAAAAGAAAATAAAAGTGATGAAATTTAAGTTTTGTTCATACACTCTAACTAGTTAGTCATTTTATTAAAAATAAAAATAATGAGTATATATTACCTTCTTATATTGAATAATTATTTCATAATTATCATGACTTAATATCAATAAAAGTATTCATTATAATGAGTGATATCTAAAATTATTTAATAATTTAATTATAACAAAGCATAACCATTTTATGAAAACTTTAAATAAATATTTATATATTTAAATTTTATAAATATAAAATCACTAGTTATTAATATCTTTAGATTCTAAGATTCTAATTATACCTATTCTTATAAAATAAAAAAAATAAAACATTAATAAAACTACATACAAATAGAAAATACTAAGAAACAAAAGAAATGAAAAATATATTATAACATAATTAATTAATACGAGGCTAAAGGAAGAATATTGTATCATAAAATATTTTTAATTCAACTTAAATAACTTATATAATATGTAATAGAAAAATACAAGAAATTAATCAGTATTATTTCTTTTGTTATTTTTGAATTAAACTATTGAGATAATTTCAATATTAAATATAATTAATAAGAAATAACTATATATAAATGATATAATAAAATAATAATTATATGATCAATAAAAGAATTAAATTAATCAATTATAAAGCAATAAAATGGAAAAATACTTATAATTGCTTTATTACACGAACTAGATATGGTTTCTAAGAAGAAAGAAACGCTACTCCAAAACTACCAACTCAAAACTTAACAAATACAAATATATATCAAAGTACTACCTGAGAGAAGAGGTCACAATAAAAAAACAAACTGATAATACTAAGAACTAACAAAATAAAATCAATAAAGACAAAGAATAATAAAAAGAGAAGCTTTAATAAACACTATGAAAATAGGAACATTTAACAAGGGTACTAAAAGATTAGAATGAAATTTAAATAAAACTAATATTGCATTATGGATATGAGTATTGAATCTTAGAAAAAAAATAAATAAAATAGATAAGATAAATAAATTCCTGAGTAATAAAATAGGATGTGTATTTTATTCTTTTACTTCATATTATATTTACTACTAATAATATTTTATTGATTACACAACAAGTAATAGTTTATTATTATTTTTAATGATAATTCAATGAAAATTACAATTTTTATTTCTAATTTTATTTCTCATCAAAAATATTATAGTACAATAACAAAATAGAAATAATAGTTTTATTCTTACTTCAACGTATTTCTTTTCCTTCTATTTCTTCTTTACAAAAAAAGACTTAGAAAAATAGAACAAGCAAGCATTTTAGAACTCAAGTAAAAATCAAAATTGTTCTATTGTTTCTAATTTTTTTGAATCAGAGACAACAAGAATAAATGGTGATAATTAATGAACAAAACGTCTTATTTATCTACAAGGATTTTGAGATCTGAATTAAACAAAGAAAACATGGATATACCTGTTACTTTCTCAATTCATTATGTTACTTCATATGGAGAAGAATTATATATAGTTTTTAATGATGAGGTTGAACGGAAAATGACATGGAGTAATGGCCATATTTGGATAATTCAGTGTTGTGTTTTACCACGGCCAACTCGTTGGTGGTATGAAGTAAAACAAGGTAGTGTAGTTACAAGAACAGAAAAGGATTTAAATTCAAGACAATATACCTTTGAAAAAGAGAGATTTTATAATATAACTGATTCTTGGGATTGTGGTGCTTATGCAATGAAAATAAGTGTTTGTTAGTTACTTTGTTTAAGACTTTAGTTATAAACTTATTTCATAGAAATTTCCTAAATTAAAAAAATCAAACACCATCATTTTTACTCATCCTAGAGCAGTAACTCTTCCTTATTATAATAGGAGTCCTTTGGTTCGGTGTCGTACTCAAGAAAATAATGAATTAGACAATAACATTCCGAATTATAAAGGAGTTAGATTTAATTCTTTTGATGATACGATGATAGAAGAAACACAAATTTCTTCAAAAGAAGGATATGAGTCAGTTCATCATCAATGAGAATATTAATTGTATTTATTTTTACCAGAATATCTTTTTTGCCTTTTTCTAATTTTTTGGAAGTGATGAAAATAGAAAGAGAAGTATTGGTAATTACGTTATTATTTAAATATTATTAAAATAAGAAATAAAATAAAATTAAATAATAATTAAAAATAATAATGAAAAGAAAAATATATTAGTAAAGACAGTTAATAAAAAATAAAAATAAAAAAAAAAACTATGAACTTTGAAATGGTCAGATGTCTGTCAAATTAGTTGCTGTTGGTGATGGAGCAGTTGGTAAAACGTCTATGTTAATTTGTTATACAAAAAATGAATTTCCAGAAGAATATATTCCAACAGTATTTGACAATTATAGTACAACAGTTACTCTAGGAGATGAAGTTATTTCACTAGCTATTTGGGATACTGCAGGTCAAGAAGAGTATGAGAGTATTAGGCCATTATCATATCCTTCAACAGATGTATTTTTATTATGTTATAGTGTTGTTCAACAATCTTCATTAGATAATATAGCAGAGAAAGTTTTGTTTTTTCATTCAAAAAATAAATTCAGAACTAATTTTATAGTGGTTGCCTGAAGTTAAACATCACTGTCCTTCAAGTAGAGCATTAGTTGTTGGTTTAAAAACAGATTTACGGGATAGTGTTGAAGAAATAAAGAAATTAGAAGCCAAAAATCAAAAACCAATATTTCCTAATGATGTTCAAGAATTTATTAAAGAAAATAATATTGAATGTGATGGCTTTTGTGAGTGTTCTGCTAAAACACAAAAAGGATTGAAAGAGGTAATGATTCAAGCAGTAAAAGTTTGTGTTGGTAATGGTCATACCAAAACATCTACACCAACCCCAGATAAAGATAAATTAAAGAAAAAAAATAAAACTTCAAAAGAAGGAAAATGTTGTGTTTTATTGTAGAGAAATAAAATGGTTCCGAAATCAAGCATATTCTTTTCTCTGAATATCATTTCACATTAATACACTGTTGTTTCTGTTAATTTATGAAGTTTCTTTTTTATTGGATTTTTATTAATTCAAATAATAACTGAGAAATTCAAAGAATTTCTTTTAAATTAAAGATTAGCTATTCTTGAAACAATGTCATCATCATCATCACCATCCTCTTCTCCTTCATTAAATGCTTTAGGAACTCGAGATCCTGGAACATCTAAGTCTTCTGGTTGTTCATTACTTCCTTTCTTTGTTTTAACTCCACCTTCCATTTGAACTTGTCTTCTTTCTTTAAGTCTAGTATTTCTTTGACGAGTTTCTGGAACTGGTTTAAGACCGTTTTCAACATCCAATCCAATTTCAGTTAATACTTTATCAACTTCAAGTTCTGTTTCTTCTTCAATATCATCTCCTTCATATCCTTCATTTACCATATCACTGACCATTGTATTCTTAATTCCTAATTCAGCATTTTGTTTTTCTATGAGAATTAATATTAGTTATTGTGGATAATAACTTACAGTATTACATGAATTAATATATTTACTATGAATTGGAAAGAAACAAACCAAAATCATTCATAACTTTTTGCATTGCTGGTAATTTAGTTGCTTCATTTACTTTTCTCATTGCATTAGTTACACCATTCATTGCTTCTGTTACAGCAACCATTGAACTCATTTCTGTTAGTTTCATTTTAGTAGAGTTTAATTGTGCAATAACAACTTGAAGTTTATCGATTTGTTTTTTAGTTTTAACTAAGTCAGCGGCCATTACTTTTACAGTATTAGTTCTTCCTAATCGAGCCATTTTTCTAATTTCATTTGTTAATCTTACTTCTTCACGTTCTAATCTTTTAGATTCTCTTGTAATTTCTCTAATAGATTTAGAAATATTTAGTTTTTGTTCTCGGACTATTTCTTGAGGTGTTTTCTTATGAAATAACTTTGACATAAACTACTATAATTTTAAGTTCTTTTTTCTTATAAAAATTTAGGATATAATTGTCATTTCCCAAGTAATAAATAATATTTTATTCTTTCATACTTTTTATTTAAACTCTAGTCTGAATGAAAGTACATACCCAAAGAATATTATGGTATAGATCTGAGTATGGGTTAAACACAAAGCTTCTAATGAATGTAAGTATATATTAATAATTTTTTATTTTTATTTATATGTATGTTCTAGTTTATTTTAAAGATATTAATATTAAATTCAATATCATTTATTTTATCTATTTGTTTAATATTATCTTTATTAATCTTTAATAGTATGTTACTTATATTTGATATCATTCTATCCAACCATTTTATGATACTTCATTATTTAAATACTAAAGAATTTAGAATATTTATAAAAATGATTCAAAATATTTATTTTATTGATTTTTATCAATAAAATATATTTAATTTTTTTTTACATATTTCATAACTAGAGAAATTAAAGTTTAATTTAATTTTAATATAATATTAAAAAAGGACTTTTTAAATTTAATAAAGCGTTTTTAAATTAAATAAGAAGTTCTAGTTGCTTATGACATCAATTCCATCTACAATTCATTTTAATACTGTAAATGACTCATAAATATTAGTAAATAAGATAAAGAATAATAGGAGAGAACCATCATTATTTCTTCTATAAATTTAAAAATGATGTTAAACAAAGGATTAAATGTTTTTTCTTCAAACTAAAAAATACACAAACAACATCATGTTTTTAACTCCAAGTAGAAAACTAGATCATTTAAAATTTTGTCGTAACAACGATACTCAAAGCCACCAAAGTACCCATTTGGAAGACGTAATTCTTGAAAAAACATGTTTTCCAAAACAAAGCTTAAGTTCAATTCAAACTCAAACTAACTTTTTTAATAAAGAATTAAGTATTCCACTCATTATTGGGGCAATGACTGGTGGAAGTAATGATGTTAAATTAGTTAATAAAACGTTAGCAATTGCAGCAAATGAAACAAATGTGGCTATTGGAGTTGGGTCACAAAGATCTGGGTTAGAAAGTCATGATGAAGAATTACTTGAAAGTTATAGAGTTGTAAGAGAATGTGCGCCAAACGCTTTTATTATTGGAAATATAGGGTCAGTTCAATTAACAGAATATGGAGAGGTATTAGATGATTTAATATCTATGATCAAAGGTAATGCCATTGCAGTCCATTTAAATTGGGAACAAGAGTTAGTTCAAACAGAAGGAGACAGAAGTGGCACTGACGTCCCTCGTTTAAAAGAAATTATTTCAAAATGGAATGGTACCGTTATTGGTAAACAAGTTGGTCATGGAATGATGAAAAAAGATGTAATGATTTGTCAAGAATTAGGTATGAAGGCAGTGGATATTGCTGGAATAGGAGGTACATCTTTTGCTGGTGTTGAATGTCTGCGTGCCCAAGAGAAGAAACAGTATCAACAAAATCGACTTGGTCAGTTATTATGGGATTTTGGTGTTCCTACTGCAATGAGTATTTGGGAGGCATCTCAGTGTTCACTTCCTATTATTGCTAGTGGTGGTATTCGTAATGGGTTTGATATTGTTAAGTCAATGACATTAGGTGCGTCATTAGCCTCAATAACAAAACCATTTGTTTCTTTGTATTCAGAAGGAAGTGAAGCATGTGTAAAGTATATTAACTCGATAAAAAATGAAATACAATCATTATTATTCCTTTGTGGATGTCCAAGTGTCAATGAAGCACACTCAATTCCAAAAATTATTACTGGAGAATTATATCATTGGATGAAACAACGCAATAAAATGATTACAAACAATATTTAATTACATTTCGTTTTTTATTAATTGAACGATTTCGTCATAAGTCTCGTTTCCTTTTACAAATTCAAATTCATTACTTTCTTTTTCACCTAATGGTTGTTTAAACATAGCAACTGATTGGTGTTGTAGAATTTCAATTGCTGTAATTCTTTTTAATGGATCTATTTGTAACATATCATAAATTAATTCTTGTGAAGAAGAATCAATTTTTAATGTCCTAAAGAAATATGGTAAAATAGTCTTGGTTTCTTTTAATCCATATGACTCATTTACTTCCTCATTGTTATTAAATTTAATTATTTCGTCTGGTTTAATTAACGATAAAATTGATTTTTTAATAGAATTTACAGAATGACCTTTAAATGGTGGTGCTCGTAAAATCATTTGTATATAAACACAACCCAACTGCCAAATATCGATAGTAGTAGTTTCTTCAACTCCTTCATAAAAATATTCTGGAGGCATATAAATTTTAGTACATACACTTTGAATCTATCACATTATTTACTTTAATATTTATATTAGAATTTAAAAAAAAACAAACTGTTGGATATGACTCTTTTTGGTTTAAACATTTACATGATCCAAAATCACACAATTTTATTTTAAATCTATCATTGATTAGTATATTGCTTGGTTTCTACTTCGTTAATTCTATCTAAAGAATTAGAAATAAATATAGTGAACAAACAACATCTCGATGAATAAAATTATTAATATGTAAATAATATAGTGAAGAAGCCAATTGTGAAATGATATATTTCATTTGGGTTGATGCAGTAATCCTTCCTGATTTGATACTCTCTGATAAATTTCTTGGGAATAGTTCATAGATTAGAAAAACAGTATTAACAGATTCAATTTGAGCATAAAGATATTCTTCTAAGTGAATAATATTTTCATGATTTAAATATTTTAAGAGTCTAATTTCTTGTAATACTCTTAGACCATTTATTCTTGACTCCCCAATTTCAATTTTTTTACACGCTAGCAATTGTCCTGATTTTTTATGTAAAATAGAATAAACTATACCTTCTGAACCTTTGTCAATAAGTCCTTGTAAAACATATCTTTGAGTGAGGGGATCCTCATATGAATTATTTTTTATTTGTGTTGTACGGCTATTCATTATAATAATCCTAGTTGTTTTATTATTAAGTTCTTTTGTCTTTTCGTTTCACCAAAAGAGTAGAGGTAGAGATGATAACTACAACAAAATAATTCTGAAACGATTTTTTCTAAGGACAAATCTATTTTTATTTGTTGTGAAGTTTTATTTTCTCAAATTCCTTATAGTTAAAATTTATATAGTTATTTCTGTTTTATGATTTGTTTTGGAACTTATCATTTTTGTATCTTGTCAATCTCTGAGATTGTCATTTTAGTATGCAATGTCCTGTTCAAGTCAATTTTAATAAATGCATTGGCTGTTTGCAATGCGTTAGAATATGTCCTACAAAGGTATTAACAAGTACTCATATGAAATCAACAGTATCTTTTCCTGAACGTTGTGTTAGTTGTGGTTGTTGTACATCAGTTTGCCCTGTTGGTGCAATTATTTTTAATGGTATTTCTCCACAAAAGATTGATATAGAATCTTTTGGTAATGTTATTCCTGTGTTGAAGAACACTGAGGGAAAAATAAATAGTGACGATGAAGAAGTACCTAAGAAATTAATATCACAAATGATAGAGAAAGCCAAATATTCTATTCAATCTAATAACTACAGAAAATTAGAATTTAAAGTTCTTACTGATTTTGATCCTAAATATCATCAATTAGTATGTACTATAGGAACAGAAAAAACCTATGACGATGACGTTAAATTTTTGTCGACACTATCACTGATATTAATTCAGAATAATATCCATTATGAATGGACAGAATTTACAGACCCAACTCAAAATATTACTTGTGCCTTAGCAATTGGGAGACCTAAACTTCAACATAACTAATTTATTTTTAATTATTAATCATTTAGGTAGCTTCGGTATTTTTCCATCTTTAGTTGAAGGTTTTTCAGAACGTTTTTCCCATTTACCTTTACTTAATTTACAAGGACGTGTTCCAATATATTTTCCATTTAACTCTCTTAATGCAAGAAGATATTCATTTGGATCAGAAAAACTAACAAATCCATACCCTTTACTTTTATTTGTGTGTGGGTTTACAACTACTCTAAATAAGCATTAATATATTATTTTAATAGGTATTATGTAATAACAAACTTTACTTTTTGAACTGATGGATATTTAGAAAAAAATATTTTAAGCATTGTGTCGTCAACTTCTTTTCCTAAATTTCCTACAAACATACGAAAGTCATTTATTGGCCAGTCAGCCATTGACTCATCTACCCATCTTTTTCCATCAACATTTCTCAAAGTAATACTTTGTTTTTTTTTGCCATCGTTTCGTGTTGTATTTAACCTTAAAGGGTTAGTATTTGTTTGATACAAATCAGCACACATAATATAAACCTTTTCTTTTTTCGTTTTTAAGTTTCTTCTTCACTCTATTTTCATTTTTTTAACTTAAACTTATTTAAAAACTTTCGAATTTCATTTATTGTAACGACACAATGAAAGTCCTATGAATTAAACTGTTCTATTACAAAACATAAAAACTTCCTTTTGTGCATTAAACTTCTTCATATTCATTTAAAAGAAAGAATAATAATATCCTTTATTGTAGATTAATACAAATATTTGTTTATTATAAAAATATAAATAATTAATACTTAAAAAAATAAATATTAAATAATCTATGCAATTCATTCATAAATTAGATGAATTTTGTTTTGTTCAAATAACTGATCAAAAACAGTTGGAACAGATTCTATAATATCACTTGTTATAACCCCTCTATGTTTTTCTTTGAACACAAACGAACTACACTCTTTAACTAAAGCTGATGCTGCAACTGAACAACAAATTAGATCTCCATCTTGAAAATCTTGATTTAATTTACTCCATGCAGCAAAGGTAGCAAGACTTCCACTTAGTACATCACCTTGTCCTCCACAACGTCGTGGAGACCCTGTGTGTTTAACGTGAACAGTATAACTTCCATTTGAAATTATATCTACTTGACCTTTTTGAAGAATAGTAACTCCCCCAAGCATTACAGCTACTTTGTTACATGGTGTATTATAAGAAACTTTTAGTGCATCACAAAGTCTTCTATATTCCATAACATTTGGAGTTAATATAACATTCTTTTTTCCTTTAATTAAATCGAGATGACTGTTTATTAAGAATAATCCATCTGCATCAAGAATAACTATGATGTTTTTAGTTACCGCTTGTTTTAAGATGGAAAGAGTTGCTTCCATTACAGACTCATCTCTTCCTAATCCAGGACCAACAACCAAAGCTTGTAGTGGGTCTAACCATTTCAATACTTCATTTGTATCATAATCCTCTTTAAAGAAGGGATGTACTATTAACTCTGGGGAGTATGACTTAATAGCCATAGCAGCGTCTTGATGGCAGAAAATGTGTGCAAGATCACATCCAACTCTTAAAGCAGTTATACCACTAAAATAAGGTGCTCCTGTATATTCTACACTTCCACCAATAATAGCAATTTTACCACACCCCCCTTTGTGAGAGTCGAATGTTAATGGAGGGATTATAGATTTTAATCTAGCTTCAATAGATAATTGACCTCCCATGATGTTTAATAATGAATATTTTTAAGATTTTCTTTAATTCTTTGAGAATAACTTGTTAATACTTCAACTATATAAAAAGAATTTTAAATGAATTAATACATATTTACTATTCAATTATCTAATGTTGTCATAGTAATAATTATATCAACGGTTAAAGAAATAATTGCTAACATATAAGACCAAAATAATATTGTTGAAGTCGAATTTGTTCCATTTGGATAACAAACATTAACTACAACGAGACTGTTTAATGCAGGAGGTGCAAATGATTCAATTTGGAGAACAAAATACATTACTTTGTTAGATGGCAATATTTCATATTTATACAATAAATAAGTTGCGACCCAACAAATTGTTGGTGTTATAACCATTCTAGCGATAATACCAATCATTATTTTCCATGTTGAAATAGTACCACCTCGTGGACCATTTGAAAGTGCTCCTCCAAGAAGGAACAATGCACAAAAAACAGTACAACTACCTAAATAGGAAATACATCTTCCAATGATACTCCAATTACCAGAAACAAGTAAAGGATCTCTAACTGGTTTGATTAACATAAAAATAACACCAAGGATTGCAGCCATTGTTGGAATAGAAAATAAATTTTTAATTGAAAATCTAATAATTTCTGGTAATTTCATCCATATTTTAATAAACGGTTGAGATATATAATAACCAATTTTCTTTAGTAATTTGTAACAATTAATAAAAGGTTGTGTAAATGATGAACATCGTTGTTTAGATTTTTGTTTTGTTGAATAATTATCATCAAGTGAATTTCTTCTTTCACTATTACTAATAGTAGCACCATTAGTCTCATGGACATGTTCGTTACTAACAGACATTGAATTATCAATGTTATTTGGTTGTGATTGATGATTTTCATTATTATTATTATTTTCTTGAAATATATTTTCATTTTTTAATTCATTATCATCTTTTTCAACTTTAATTTCTTTCATTTCTATTTCCTTTTGTTGTAATTTTTGTTCATCACGAACATTAAAGTTAATATAATTATACCCAAGAACAAAGAATGTTATCATAAATGTCAATTGATATGTACAAATATAACTAAAAGCTATATTTTTTGCATCATTTCCTAATTCATCAGTTTCATTAGTTAATGCCTCTACAATCGCCATAGGAATATACATGACATTAGCAAACCCAAGTGTGAAAGAAAAAACTCTATTATCTAATGTTGAAATTCTAAGTATAAATCCAATTATTAAGGGTATAAAAAATTGTAATATCCCATGAATTAAACATGCAACTGGTAATATCCATAATTCTTTTAATTCTTTAATTTCATCAATTGCTGTTGCTGTTTGATAAAATACAATCGCAGGCATAAAATAAGTAAAAATTAATTTAGACCAACCTCCTCTCATTCTTTCATCAAATCCAGAACACCTTGATGCAATAAAACCCATCAATGCAATAAATACTAACTTAATAATAGAGTATATTGAACATTTAATTAATGTAGTAATTTCCATGTTCTCCTAATAATAATTAATAGTAAGCTTTCTTTTGGGCTCTTTATTACAAAAAACCCTATTTCTTTTGCCAACAATTCCATTGATTGTTTTATTTAAATAACTCCTTTTTTCTATTATCTTTTATTCATTCTTTTTGCTTATGTTCTATTTCTTGATGATAATTTTTGTTATATATACAAATTCATAATATTGTAATTCTTTATTATTCTAAGTTCTATTTTTATTTTGATGAAGTTTCACAAAATGTAGAATTAATTATTTTTGGTAAAAAAGTTATTAATTAAAAAAATTTTGACTCATTATGAACTTAAAAATATAATATATGGAAAAAAACGGGAAACTCTTTTAATTCTTAAAAAAACAAGAGATTATTAAGAAAAAGAATTTTCTAATATTCTTCATAGTTCCCAATTTTTTTTTTTGTTACCCTTTAACAAACCTGAGATATCTTTTCAACTTAAAAATCTTAAAAAATAATGAGTAAAGGTAAACAAACTGTCCCTTTAAGTCAAATAGTTGATCATGCAACCAATGAAGTTCATCCATCACCTAGTATTAAAGCATATGCTACATTAGCTAAAATTGCTGCAACAATTCCATCTGCACAAGTAGCATTACGTGTTCAATTAATTACAAAAATGAAAGCTTATTGTAATGGATTCTTACCAAAGAAAGAGATGTATTATTGTTTATGTTTAGTAGACTATTTAGTCTTAAATTGTCCACAGTTCAGACCACAAGTATTAAACCCAGATTTTGTTACATTATTTGAAAGGTCTGCAGATTTTGAGGTTTGTTGTTTTTGTAAGAAACAAATTACAATAATAATTATCATATCTGTAACAAAAAAAAATAATATTGAATAACTTAGAAATGTAAAAAATCGAAAAAGCCTGGAATAGTTACTGAAAAGGCTATGAGAATTCTTCAAACATGGGGACCTCTTTATCCTAATGAGTTATATGATTATCAATTAATGTATGATAAATACTTAAGTAAAGGAGTTTATTTCCCAGTATTAGATAAATTACCTGAACAAACACAGCCAGAACATAGTGAGAGTCTTGCTGATGATTTAGAAAAAAGTACTAAAGAAATTAATGAATGCAGTGAATTAATTCAAGACGCTTTAGAAAATACTGGAGCGTCAGTTAGAACTCAATCTGTAAAAGCATTGTATAAAAGAGCAGTAGAATTAAATAGTAAGTTTAATGTTCTTTTTGTGAAATATATTAATACAGCTACAAATACCGAAGAAATTCAAAAATATTCAGAATTAGAAAGTAATTTTACTAAACTTATTGTTCAATTAGCAAATATTATCAATAACCCACAAGGGGAAGACATTTATCGTACTTATACTACTGGTCATATAACTGATAAAACTGAAGATAAACATACAAAAATTAGATCTTCTCAAGCACCTCTTGATCCAATTTCTATTGCATCATCTTCTGCTCAAAGAGAAACTCCTTCTTCATCAAGTTTCTCTCGTAAAAACTCTTCATTCCAATTAGCACCACCTCCTTCTCGTGGACAACCTATTCGTTTTAGTAGACAAAATACAGAGCCACCCGAAAGTCAATTATTTCAAAATTCACCAATACCATCAACTAAAATATCTATGGAAACACAAATACGAGATGATACTGAATCTGTTGTAAAGAATAGATTTATTTTTGATCAATCTTCTCCAAGCTATCAATCAAACCATGGTCCATTAGATCAACAAAGCTTACTGTAAAACAGTCAATTAAAAATTAAATCCTATTTTTTTATTCATTGTTCATTTCTATTTCAACCCCTAATTGAGATGATGATTTATTACATGGTTGTTGGGTTTGTGGTTTTATTTGTATTGATAAATTGGTTTTTCGAAGTGCTTTTTCTTCTTCATATGATTTGTATGTTTCTTTAAATAATTTACTTGTTATTCTATCAATTTCAGAAAATACTGGTCGTTGTTTTGGATCATGTGCCCAACATTTTTTAATTAATTCACAAATTCCAGGAGGGAACGTTTTCGGAAAATCAAGTCTTTGTCCTTGACTTACAAAATCAGAAACATCCCATGAATGAACGAAACAACCATTTCCATATGGGATTTTTCTTAAAAAGACTTCATAAGATACTATTGCAAATGCATAGACATCAATAGGTAATGAATAAGGTCTATTTAATAAAATTTCTGGTGCCATGTACAATGGAGTTCCTATTCCTTTAGTCATAGAGTCTGATGCTGAAGAAGATGATATATTTCTTGTTGTTCCAAAATCAGATAATTTTGCATTAACCGTTTCATCTTTACTCATTGATATTACCAAAATATTATCTGGTTTTAAGTCTCTATGAATTATTGAACTAGAATGTAAAAATGTCATTCCTTTAGCAACATCATTTAACATTTTATATGCCAATAAATCATTAAATTCATTTTTTTGATAAACATCTTTTAAACTACCAAATTGTGCATATTCTGTTATTATAGAATAATGATCAGGAGTATCTACTGCCCCAACAAAATTAATAATATAAGGACATCTCATTTTATCCATCATCAAAACTTCTTTTTGAAATGCTTCAATAATGTCTTGAGGCCAAGAAAAATTTTTTGTTTCTTTAATTGCTACTTGAGTTCCTCTATATTTTCCAACATAAACTATTCCAAATGAACCTTCTCCAATAACTCTTTCTTTTTCAAATTCTTGATAATCCAATTGAATACTATTACAACTTTCACATTCGATAGTTAAAGCAGCATGAACTTCTTTACCAATAATTATTTCATCTCCTTCACAAGCAACAACATCAATAATATCATTAACTTTAGTTGTACATAAAAATTCAAATTTAATTATAACAGATTGACCAAATCCAGGTTGTAATTTAATACATTTTGGTTCAAAATTAATATTATATTTATATGACTGAATTTCATTTGGATTAAAAATAAAATATTGTTTCTTTTTTGTTTTATTAGCTATACTTATTTCTTGAATAAATTCTTCTCTCACTGGAGCTGGTTTATTAGAAAATCCAAAATCAAAATGGGTATCACTAAATGATATTGGAAAATTTTCAAATGAAGTAAAATCATGATTAAAATTTTTTATTCTAAATTTTGTTGATTTCTTTTTTTTTGGTATAACGATAACTATGATAACAATAATAATAATAAGAACAATAAATATTATTAATACTAATAATATTACTATTAACGTTATTGTTATTTTATTAATATTATTATTTGTTTCTTCTGAATTACATTTTTCATTAATAAATGACATATTTGATCTACATTGACAATTAGATTCTGAACAATATTCTTTATTATATTTTTTCATTGAAATACTAATTGTTGGGTAATTAAAATTATTTGGAATATTATTTAATCCACCTGCCCAAATTGAATTTTTTGATGAACAGACTGAATACCCAAAATATTGATATTCATAATTTCCATGAATTTTCATTATTTCAACAAATCTTGGTACATACCCATAATCAAAATAATTATCAAAAAATACATATGCACCTCCACAATGGGTTTTATTATTTATTGAATATCCTGGTGTTCCAACAACAATTATTTGTCCATAAGATCCAATGTTATCAAATGGTTGTTGATTTAATGGTTGAATATATTCAGTAACATTATCAGAATAAAACGGAACATTAGAAAGAATTTCTTCTTTTGAATATTTAGAATTTGGATCAAATGAAACAATTTTATTTTTATCTGATACAATACAATATATTATATTATACCTATTTATCCTTATAGCATCATATTGAAATGTTTCTGATGTATCAACACCATTAATTAAAATATCTTTATAATAATTAATTTTTCCCCAAATATAATATTCATCTTGTGAAGCATCAAATTGATATAATTTAATACTTTGACCTTTTTTTACAACAATCATTTGACTTCCAGCACTAATATATTCTCCACAATCATATTCAGTAGTAATTTTAGGAGTTAATGTTTCTACTTTAATACCAACTAATTTACCATTTAGACATGTAAGTAATGTGTCTGTTTGAACACTATCTTTTTCAAAATGTTGAAATACTAAAGGTGCGTATTCATCAAATTGGCCACTATAAGTAGAGTTAAGATAAATCGTTGGTGTTTCAGAAACAAGGCTATAAAGATATAACTCTCGATCATGTAATAACCAAATAGTTTCTCTCATGTCAACAATTTGTGGTCTTTTTGGAATTGTTTTAATTCTTAATGTTGTAGTACGATTTTGAATTGTAGAAAGAGTAGAATCCCAATGAATTTCTGTAGGGTTTCTTCTATTCCAATAAACTGGTAAATTATGTCTTTGTTCTGATATTTCATTATATCCAATATAAGCAATATAACCATCTAATGTTTCATCCCCTTTTTCTAAATTAACTTGAACAAGTTTTCCATAACAAATAAATACATACAAAGAAATAAGAACAATATTTTTCATATAAAATAATTAATTTTTACAGTTCTTATGCCTTTCAAGAGAATCGAAAATTGTTTAAGATAGCATAGAACTTTCTACATCAAATAAGTAATCTTATAATCAACATCTCATATTATTTTGATTCTTTGATTTTATGTAAAGTGTTACTTACTTCATTATTATTAACTTTAACTTAAAAAAAAAACTCTCAGAATTGAGTCCAGCCAGATGTTATATTTTTTTAAAGAGTTGTTGAATAATTAAATAAGGTATTAACCACTTTATTAATAATAATTTGTTTAGATATATTTTTTAACTATGACATATTACTATATTTAAACCAAAATCAAAATAGTTTAATTGTGTTGATTTATGCTTTAATCATTTGTGGTTTCAACCATTCTTTCTTTGGTCTACCCATAAAAGAATGAACATGCCATGAATCTATATTTAAAGAAAAAGCAACAGCGATAGTAGAAGTTTCTTTAATAATACTATCAAGAACTCCATTTGACTCAAATCTTTCCATTAATACTTTTTCTGGAGTTTCAATGCCTTGGAATTCTTTTGTAGTAGTAATAATAAGAGTGTCATCATTGTTGAAATAAGACCAATCAAAATATACTTTTGCATCATCCCCTGGATTTTCTCCAATTCTATAATTCCCACCATCACAAATCTTTTTGATTTCTGTTGTTTTGTTTAATTTAAATATATTAAAATCACCAACAACTAATGATAAAACAGCTGGTTTACTTTCACCAAAACCACAATCTTCATCACAAATAATCAGAAGAGTAAAATTGACAGGAACAAGTTTATTTTTTGAAAATACAATATTGATATCAGTCATAGTCTCTACTAATGCTTCAATTGTATTTGTAACTGATGTAATTGAAGAAAATTGAGTTTCATAACATTTAAAGAATAAACCTGCAAATTGTTGTGAAGCATAATCAGCATTAATTGTATGAATCGGATCTACAACAAGAACAATTCTATGTGTCGAGTATACTCGTGTGAAAATAGTTGCATAATCATTTGAGTGAGCAGCATAAGCAGTCCCAAGTAATCGAATTTTAGATATGTCTTGTGGAATAATAATTGATTCCATTAAAACTTCTGATGGAATAGGTAACATTAAGTATTTAGGAATGTTAAGTTTATGACACTGATTGTTAGAACGGAACATTGTTCTAAAAAATTCTTCTACTCTCAATCGAGAGTGTTTTTCCTTTGTTTCTGGTGAATAATCACAACTGATAGTTCGTTTTGGTTCTTCCTTAGTTTCACCAATTTTCTTTTGAATAAAAATACTTGCCATTAAAATTTCTGTTTTCTTTTGTTGTTGATGTTGTTGTGCAATGAGTTCTTTCAAAGAAACAGCTGCACGTCTTGGAGTACTAGGTATTGGTTGTGCTGTTTGCTCTTCTTCTTGTTTATTTGAATTATTGTTAACTTCTATCTCTCCATTTAAATTTGTTTCTTGTCTTATATCTTCCTCAATCTTTAGTTTTGATTCTAAGTGGTTAGACAGGTGATAGGAATTATCTTATTTGAAAAGAAACTTGAACAAACCTTCATTTCCAACAGACATTTTTTTATTCTTTTTTAAGTTCATTTCTAAAAATAAATTTTTTATTTTTTGATATTTTTATAAAAGCAAAAATAAAAATTATTTTTGTTATTTCAAATTTAAAAAAAAATGATTGGAATTAAACAAGTTGATCATAATTTTGATTTATAATAAAAATTGACTTATAAGGAAAGAATAACATAAAAAGAAAAAAACACAAATAATACAGTAAAGGAGAAAGGAAAAAAAATCTATGAACAAGAAATACCTCTCAAAATAGCTACACATCTAGAAATGTTTTAATCTTAAAAAATATTACTTAAAGTTATAACTGAATGTCATTCTTATCATTTCTTTTCAAAAAGAAACAAATGAATATTTTAATTTGTGGACTTGATGGGTCTGGAAAGACATCAATGTTACTTAAGATGCAAGGTCAAGACCCAAAAACTATTCAAACTAAACCAACTATTGGTTATTTAAATCCAACTTTAAAATACAAAACCTTTGAATGGCTTTTTTGGGACGTTTCAGGAGCTGCTAAATTCAGAGGTCTTTGGAAATCATATTATCCAAATGTTAAATGTATTGCTTTTGTTTTTGATAATACTGATGAAGATCGTTTTGATGAATCTAAAAACGCTTTATTAAATATGCTTGCTGACTCTGAATTAAAAGGTATGCCATTTTTAATATACGTTAATAAAACTGATAAAAAACAGTTTGACCAAACTACTTTCAACGAAAAACTTAATCTTACTGAAACTCAAAAGTTACGTTGCCAAATTTTCCCATGTTCTGCTTATACAGGTGATGGTCTTTTTGAAGGTTTAGATTGGATGTGTTACACTCTTAAGAAAATGACTAAAAACTAATAGTAATAAAATCGGTTCTTCACTCTTTTATGGTTATTCTTCATTTCTTTTTTTTTATCTCTAAAGTACTTTCTTATATTCAATACCTTTAGATTTTTTTTGAGTGAAAATCTTGTTTTATTCTGAAGTTTTTATTCAACTTTAACTAATTATAAACTAAAACGAAGATTGTATCTCTCCTAGAATGAAAAGATAATTTCTTTTATTAAGTTGTTTCAGAAAAAAAAACAATACTTATATGAAACCTTCTAAGAATAAGAATACCAATAACTCTCCTAAAAAGATTTTCGTTAATGGAAGTATCGACCAATTTGTGTTAGATAAAATACAAACCTTCCTCCTAGAGTTTATATCAAGTTTAAATTGTATCACCACAGATAAAAAATTTGTTGGAACATCTATGTTTGTCCGAGATCATTCATTAACAAAAATTGCTCAAGTTTTTATGGTATTAAAAGTTATTCAGGAAGCAACTCTTCTAAATATCTCTGTAACTAAGAGACATATCTATTATCTAGATAAAAATTTATTTAAACATCAAAGAGTTGTTGATGAAATTGTAAAAAAATTGTCTGAAAGAGTATTTCATTTACCTAAAGAAGATTTTCATGTTGTTGCTGCTCAAAAATCTTTTTTTTGTGGTAATATAACTATGATTAGAGACATGAAAACTACACAAATAACACCAGAGAAAGAAACAGTAATTCCACTAATCTCAACCATGAAAAATACTCAAATAAAAACTACTGCTACTCACATTTTGATAGTAGAAAAATATACTATCTTCAATCAAATCACAAAAACAAATTGGTTTAATACTAACAAAAATAATATTCTTATTATTACTGCATGTGGTTTTCCTGATTCTGCAGTTAAATATTTTATTAACTTATTAATCTCTTCAAATCAAAAAATTAAATTATATTGTATGGTTGACTTTGACCCTTTCGGACTAGATATTTTTAATAATTACATCAGATCAGATAGAGAATATCCTATTTTATCATCAATTCGGTTATTGTTTTTTAATTACATTCAGCAATCTATTAATAATATTCCATCTTCTTCAAAAATTCCACTTTCCTTACTTGATCAGAAGAAAGTTTGTCACTTTAATTAAAAAATTTTCACAAATAACTTATCTAGTTAGTTAGTACGTCTAAAATCAAAGGTGTCTGAACCACAAATTATAGAAGCAGTGGATTTTTTAATCAAACTCCAATGTAAACTGGAATTAGAGGTATTGTCTTTAAAAGAATTAGAACAACTATTGAATGAGTCATTTAACTTACTAGCTTTGAGTGTTGAAGAATAACAAAACAGAATAAATAGAGTTACATTTTTCAAGAAAGAAGTTTATTTTTGTTCCTAAAGAAAATAACTTAAGAACTTAAATACTAATGATGATTTAATTATAAGATAAAACAAACTCTAAATATTAAAGAAAATAAACTTGCTTACGTCATAAGCGTCAAGTAAAAAAGTTAGATAGTTTGAACTGAAAAAAGCAATGTCAGGAACACCAATCTGCCCAACTTGTCATAAGCGTGTTTATTTCAACGAAAGATTAACTTTCGCTGGTAAGGATTACCATAAAATTGGCTGCTTCAAATGTACTTCATGCCATAAGACACTCGAAATTTCTAAAGCTCGTGAATCTGATGGTATGCCTTATTGTGCTAATTGTCATGCACAAAAACAAGGGCTTAAAGGATTCCAACCAGGAAATGTCCTTACTTCATATACTGGTTATGGTGGAGGAAAAGGTGAAGTTGATAATTCTACTGTTGTTGGTGGTAGAATTGCTGAGGTTGCTGCTCAAGAAGAGGCTGAACAAATGAGAAATGCTCCAGTCAGATCAGCACCTACTCCATCTGATCTTCCAAAATTCTGTCCAAGTTGTGGTGCTAAGAATAATGGAGGAAAATTCTGTAGTGAATGTGGTAACAAGTTTTAATTAATTTACGTTCATCTTCGTAGTAATTTATTTAAGAATATTTAAATATTTATTATTTAATAGAAAATTAATATTCTTTGTATTTTTTATTTTCAACTTAAGGGTTATTTGTTTGTAAATTTTTTCTTTTTTTAAATAACTACATTAAGTTTTAGAGAGGTTATGTAACTTTTTTTTAATCAAATCTTACTAAGACATTTGTAATAACTAATGAGTTAAAAAAAATAATGTATGGGTTGAATTTCTTGTTGTTGTGGTTTAATTTATTGAATTATTGTCAAATAATCATATATTCTTTTAATATCCAAATAATTTTGTAGAATAAAAAGTTAGCTAAAATAAGTTTTAACTTCTAAATTTTATATATTTTTTGGTTATATTTATTCTTTTTTGTAAGTTTGATTTTGTTTATTGTTTCAGATGAACAAAATGATTTCAAAGTGTGTCATTTCAGATAGAATTTTTCTGGATATGTATTATGATAGATAATAATTGTTGTGTTTTATTATTGGCTTATTTTATTTGTTATCTCTTATTTAAAATATATTGAGAGAAATAAAAAAATAGAACATATTTTTAATTGATTCAGTCATATGTTTTATTCAATTAAAACAGTTATCAGTTATCATTAATAATTGTTTGTTTTTCATTGTGTATTTTTATTGTTGATGATACTTTTAAAATGAGATAAACTGTAGGTTATACTTTTTTATATCCAAATAGAAATACAACATTTAGTTTATGAAGAATAGTATTCAATTTTTAATTAATTAATCAAAATAAATATTAAACACTTTATATAATATTATACTATCTTTATTTTTATTATCTTCTAATAATTATCAAACGAAAACTTCTTTTGTAGAATGTCTTATTAATAATTTTTTTGGTTCTATTGATAGATAAATTATGGTAGTATGAGAAATAGAATCAAAAATAATGATAAGAAGCAAGTTATTTAAAATTTAATGTGAATTTGTTGTTGATAAATAAATAGGTTATAATAAGTAATTAGGAATAACAAAGAGTTTTCAAGAATAAAGTAATCTTTATAAGAGAAGATTATTTGTAGGTCTTAATTAAATTATTGTTATAGAAAAAAATAAGAACAAAAAACTCCAAATTGTGTTATCTTAGTTTTATAAATGGATAAGACTAACATCTTCAAGGAACTTGGTAAACCTCGGAAGAAAGGATTTGGATCAAGAGATGGACAATTATTAATTCAAAAAGAAAGGACAGAAGGATTAAGTGATGATGAAAAAAATGAAATGAAAGAACAGGAAAAAAATAAACAAGAAGAAAGCGACGATTCAGTTTTATTTGTGGATGATGATGAAGTATTAAATAAAAAACCTGAAGAAAGTATTGTTTTTAATGAACAAGAAGATGATGAAGTTTTCTTTGATGATGATGATAAAATTATTCCGTGTGATAATTTAAAAGCAGTTGAGTGTAAATTAAGAAGTGAACGAATGAAAGAAAAAACAAATTTTCTTTTAACTGAAGAGAGTCAAATTATTAGAAATAAATTTATACAATATTTGTATGATGAGTATTATCAAGATAGAATGATTCCTTTTAACGAGTTAGTTAAGGTATTAATTAAACAAATAGATGGGTGTTTAAAGGGCATACAAGAATATTGTGTTAATATTATTTCTATTGTTGGAATGACAACAACAAATTATGATTACATGTCAAGTATCAGAACAACATTATTAAGTTATGGAAGACTATGGCATGACATTAGCATTGAAGATACATTTGAATCAAGTGATACTATTGTTATTATTATTGAATTACCTGAACAAGAAAAATGTATTGAAACTATTTGGAGAGTTGCAGAATCATTAAGAAAGAAATTAATAGTGTTTTTAGTTGGAAATACGATAGTTGAATGTGATAGGTATTTGCTTGGACATGATTATCCAATGATTAAAATAGCAACTATTTCAACTAGTACAACACAGATAATTAATCATTTTGAATATATGCAATTAAAAGAAACTATTATTGGTAAATTACCATTGATTCATCCATCAATAATATCATATAATATTATGTTATATAGAGATTTTCATCATTCATACAAACTGTTTATTCAATTTATAATTCGACATATAGAACATTCAGTAATATTTACAAATCCTTCACTAATAATACCTCAATTTCTTGAAGGAATGTCTGAGGCAGATGAAAAAATCAAATTAGGGATTGAACAAACTTATGACTTTTTATCTGTTATATTTACTCGATTATTGTTCTCAATTCAAACTTTATCACAAATTCATTTTCATAAATTATTACCACCATATACTTCACTTCTTAATATTTCTGATATTGCACAACCGTTATTTAATTTTAATTTTCCTTCAAATTTCAATAAAATTAATATTCCTGAAGATGCTGATGATGAATTAAAAAATATTATAAATACAATTAATTCATCTCCATCTTCTGAAACATTTAAATTATTATTAGATTATATCTCAATAACAATAGGTATAATCAAAACGTTCCAAACAAATTATCAATCAAAAATCGAATGTTGTTGCGTTTCAACTAAAATTGATTTTAATTCCTTTTCTTTATTTGATATAATTCGTCATTGTGAAGAAGGTAAACCTAAAGCACAACAAATATTTACAAATTATAGAATCATATTAAACAATGTTAATAGAAAAGGTATTATTTCCGTAGAAAATTGTCTATCACTCTTTCCTGATAAATCACCTGATGAAGTAAAAACTTTAATAAAAGAATTAATAACATTTGGATTATTCGTTCCTCATAATGACGAACTTCGTTCTACAGAAATTGTCATTACTTCTTCTATAAATGAATGATTTATTTAATGCAATATTCTTTTTTTAAAATAATGTTAAATCCAATAACTCGACCTAAAACATAAAGTTTTAAATAACTCTTTTTCATGTATATTTCTTTTTGATTAACTAACTTACTTAAACAAAATAAATCGTTTAAATTAGATTCTACTTTGAAGGTTTTGTTTCACTCTCTTATTTATTTTTCTGATTTCAATTGAAAATACCTATTTTTAATATAATTTTTGAATTAACATTATATTTAATATAACCAATGCAATAACTTAAAAATAAATAAAAGAAAAACTATTATTGGTTTTAGAAAAAGTGAAATTAAAAGAAGATAAAATTTTATAAAAAAGAATTATTATGAGGATAATATTAAAAGATCTATCTCATTTATTACAATAATTCAATACTTTTATTATTTTTTTTTAAAGAAATATTAAATTTAAATAAAATAAGAATTAAGATTTTATTTTAATAAAGATTTATTCGTTAATAATTTTTATAACACTTTGAAAAAGAATATAAATAATAACTGTTAGGAAAGATTATGTTCTAATTGATTCGTAAACAAAGAATTTTCGAGGAATTTTGATTTTTCAATTAAATCCATTTTGTTCTATGACTTAAAAAGTATAGTTTTATAATAATAAAAGAAAAGTAAAATAGGAATTAAGGTATTTAAACTAATTAAATGAACTAAATTATCAATTGTTTAATTGAATTCATGAGAGCTATTGTTTTTGTTTTAATCTTTGCTATTGCCTTTGCTGCAACCAGAGAAGGATCTATTCTTTGCAACCTTTGCAAAGACACAGTTAACCTTATTGAAAATCTTTTAACTGTTGACGGTGCTCAAGCTGTCAGACAATATATTGACAATCTTTGTGCTAAAGCCAGTGGATTCCTTGGAACTCTTTGCAATAAAATCCTTTCATTTGGTGTTGATGAACTTGTCAAGCTTATTGAAAATCATGTTGATCCAGTCGTTATTTGCGAAAAGATTCATGCTTGTTAAGTGAACTCGTCAAAATGATTAATTCAATCATTGTTTTATTCTTTTTTATTATACACTTTTTTATTTTAGTAAATAAAATATATTTTTTGGGTTAGAAATTGTTAGAATGTTATTGAGAAAATAATTAATTCTTAATTCTTCTTTATTTTTTAGTTGATTTTTAAGAATAAAGAAAACTATAAAAAATAATAAAATAATATAGTATAAACTATACTAAGAAAACTACAAATTCAAAAAAATAAAAAAAAACAAAAAGTAACTTAATAAAAAACGAACTAAATAAATATATTTTATTACTAGCGGATGAAAGCTTTGTTTATTGCTCTTATTTGCCTCTGCGCATTTGCAGAAGAAGATTTATTCAATCCATTTATTCATGGAAAGACATTGTTAAACAGAATGCGAAGAATCAAATCCTCCAACCGTAGAAATGAAAGAACTTTATTAGCCCTTGAAAACAGAGAAAGAAAGATTGAAAATGTATTAGATATTTTATATGATGATATGAAACTTGCTGTTAGTATTGCTGACAGAATGAAGATTGAAACCCAAATTGATAAATTACATAAAAATATGGATAAAATTAGAAGACAAAAAAGAGCTATTCTTAGAAGAATGAAGAAGATGACTGATAAGATTGCCCTTCCTGATAGAGATAGATTAGTTAGAAGTACTAGAACAGAACATAGAGTTGGTATCGAAGAAACTTCCCATATTAGAAGAGAAATTGAAAATAACCAAAAACTCCTCTTAAAGGAAACCCAAGCCCTTGCTCATAAATATGCTAAGATGGCTGCTGAAATTGCTTCAGAAAAATTAGTTAAAACTATTGATCATAAGAAAGAGGGTGATATCTTAAAGGCTAAAGAAAAATTCAAGAAAGTCTCTAAGAAAGCTTATAATAAATATTATAAGAAAATTGTTGAAAGAATTGAAGAAGCTACAGCTGAAGGTGTAGTTAACGAAGATATTAAGATGGTTTGTAGATCTGCTATCGATGGATTAATTAGAAAACTTGAACACCAATATTTAATTATCGTCAGATCAAGAAATGAAGCTAAAAAAGAAGCTAAAAAAGTCTCTAAGAAACCATTAAGAAAATCTATGAAGACTCTTGGCAAAGTTTTCAAAAAAGAAATCACCAAGAAAAGTGCAAAAGATTTAAAGAAACAAGAAAAGAAAGCTCTTGATAAGATTACTAAAACTGAAAAAACTGTTAATGTTAAAACAACATCTAAAACAGAGAAAAAGACTTCTACGTCAGCAAAACAATCTAAACTTGCTACTGAACAAAAGAAAGCTACAAAACAAGTACAAACTAAAAAGAAGTAAAGATATTTAATTTTACACTTTGAGTTCATTTTGGTGTTTTTTTATTTTGTTTTGTTTGAAGGATAATAGGAAATAAAAATCATAAAACAATAAAAAGTATAAAGAATTAGAGGAAATTATATAAAATTAGTAATATAGTATCAAATAAAAAAGAAAAAATTTTAATTGTTTCATCTTCAAACATTTAAATAATAAAACATGGAAAGCGATGTTCAAAGAGTTGGAACTGATAAACGAATTAGATTCAAAGAATACCAATGTACATATCCAGGATGTAATGAAGGACTAAAAACTAAATATAATTGTTTATCTCATATTTGGGATATTCATTTAAGACATCTTAGTAATATAACAGAGTCCTACAAAAATTTACCAGATAAAGAACAAGCTCGTTCATTATGTTTTCCATATTTAAGATATGTTCCTAATGCTGATGGTATTAGAAAAAGAAAACCATATGATCTTCCTGACACATTGATAAATAAATTAGATTTTACTTCACAAAACACTACTGATCTACAATCCCCTTTAGTTCAACCAGAATCTTCTTTTTATGCAAAAAGTGAAAATGGATATAATATTAAATGTGTTGATGCTTCTGATCAATCAACAAATCAAACACTATTCCCTTATTTAGACTCTAATATTGTAGAACCTCTTTCAGTAAATTCTCAACAACCTCTGTTAGACACTCAATTTGGTCAATCCTCAAATGGAATTATGGTTACTCCATTTACTTCACAACTGTTAAGTTTAGGAAATGATTTTATCAGAATTTATTCAATTTCACAAAATGTTAAAAGGCTTTATGTTGCTGGTGAAATATTTGCTGAAAACGGTTTCTTACAACGGTCAGACAAAAGAAGTAAGAAAGATATTAAAAGAATATCACACGCCTTAGACACTATTTGTAAAATTACTGGTAAGTCATTTAAATACGTTAATGAAGATAGAACTAGATTTGGATTTATTGCACAAGAATTAAAAGAGGTGATTACTGATGCTGTTAAAGAAGATGAAGACGGAAGATTTTCTATAGACCCATTATCATTATTACCTTTTATTGTTGAGTCGTTAAAAGAATTACAAATAGAATTAAAGAAAGTAAGCCAAACAGAAAAAGTTATTAACTTAGCTGTTGCTGTAGATAATACTATGAAAGTTGTTAATGAGGTTAAGTCAGATAATTTATTTTCCTTTGGACCAAGTTCATTTGTTGTACCAACTGCAGTGACATTAACATTTATCTCTGCAATAGTAGCAATAAAAGGAACTTTTCCATTTATTTGGATATTTCTTGTATTTGCTAGTATTTGTTATTGGTCATCTAATCAATTTGCACCTAATGGAACATTCACTAAACAAGCAATTACTATGAATTTTATTTTACTAAATGTATTTCTTGTTTGTGTATCAGCTAGTTTCTTAATGGGAACAGCTTTACAATTATATCTTGGAGTGTATGTCTCATTGATGTTGTTGTTATGGGGATGTAGTCAAACATTGAATACTTCTTTTTTAAATTTCTTTATTGTCTCATTCTCATTTTGCTGTTTAGCGTGTTGGGTTGTATTTATGTTTCAACCCACGTTTAGTTGTAGTGTTTCTACCCCTATGAAACAAAATACTAAGTTTAGGGAATATTTGGAGTATCGTAATTGGAATGATGTTCGATTTGAATTAGTTTCTGATATCCCTTGGAACTGCTTTAATCCTCATTTAGAAGTTAAAGGAAAGAAAGTAAAATTTGTTCAAGGGAACAAAACAACTAATGTAGTTGTTGATCCAGATACTCTCTCAACAGATAAAATTGAAGTTCGAATGGTATGCTCCACTATTCCTTATAAATGTAATAGTTATACTATTTATCAAAGTATTGATTAAATTCTTGGAATATGGTACAAACATAGCATAGTAATTCTGATGTTTATTGTTTTATTCTGTTTTTTGTTTCTTCATTAAATTATTTATTTTACATCAAGAAGAAGACTGTTTTAATGTTGCATTATTTTTACTTAATATAAGCTTTGAAGAAGTTCCTTTTTTGAAGTAATTCTTTGTTAACAACGTATTGTGGCAGTTTTGTAATCTTTTATTTTCCATACACAAAATCAAAAGGTATCTTTTATCTATGAAATATATAATAATAAAAACTACTAACATAAGAATTTAAAAAATAACAAATAAAAGATTTTTGTAGGGATAAAGCAACATATTAACGTATTAAAGATGAATTAACCAACAAACAAATAATTTACTTATATTTGAATTTTTATCTCTCGTTTATAGTTTATTCCACTTAACTTATAAGGTATGGTGGAGAGGTATCATAATCGATAGAAAAGAAGTGATAAGGAAGAGATTGAATGATGAAAATGATGAAAATAAGATAAGAAAAAAAAAAAAAAAAAAAGGAAAACTTCAAAAGGAATAAAGAAAAAACAAAAGAAATGGAAATTGATGGAGAAAGAAAAAGTGTATTAAAGGCATATTTACAGAAATTGAAAACATACGAAGCAAAAAAAGAGGCATTAGAAAAAATAAAAGAGACATTAAAAGTGAGTAAAGAGAATATGGTCAGAAATGAAGAAATGTTATTATCGTTACAAGCTATAGGGATGTCAATTGGAGAAGTATTAAAATGTTTAAGTGAAGAGAAATATATTGTTAAAGTATCACTAGGACCACATTATGTAGTTGGATGTAGAAATAGTATAGATAAGAAAAAGATAACACAAGGGACACGAGTTGCACTTGATGTATCAACTAATACTATAATGAAAATATTACCAAGAGAAGTTCATCCAGGGGTATATTCGATGACAGTAGAAAGTCCAGGGAAAGTCAAATATGAAGATATTGGAGGATTGAGAAATCAAATGAGAGAAATAAGAGAAGTAATTGAATTACCAATGACAAATCCAGAATTATTTGAAAGAGTAGGAGTTAAAGCACCAAAAGGAGTATTATTATATGGACCACCAGGAACAGGAAAAACATTACTTGCAAGAGCACTTGCAAGTAATTTAGAATGTCAATTTTTAAAAGTAGTTGCAAGTGGAATTGTAGATAAATATCTTGGAGAAAGTGCAAGATTAATTCGAGAGATGTTTGCATATGCACGAGATCATCAACCATGTGTAATATTTATGGATGAAATAGATGCTATTGCAGGAAAAAGAATTGCAGAAGGAATACATAGTGATAGAGAAATTCAAAGGACATTAATGGAATTATTAGCACAAATGGATGGATTTAATGAAATAAGTAAAGTAAAAATTATTATGGCAACAAATAGACCAGATGTTTTAGATCCAGCATTAATGAGACCAGGAAGACTTGATAGAAAAATAGAAATTTCACTTCCAAATGATCAAGGAAGAATTGAAATTTTAAAAATTCATTCTAAAAAGATGAACATTAAAGGAGAAATTGATTATGAAGCAATGGGAAAATTAACAGAAGGATTTAATGGAGCAGATTTAAGAAATGTCTGTACAGAAGCAGGAATGTTTGCAATTAGAGATGATAGAGATTATTGTCTTGAAGAAGATTTTTTCAAAGCAATAAGAAAACAATCAGATGCAAAGAAATTAGAAAATCAATTTGGTGATATTAAAATTTAATTTCTTTTTTTATTTTTATTTTTTTATATTTTTTTATATTTTTTTTTTAATTAATTTAAATAAAATTTAAATTTTATTTATTATCAGATGATTAATACTTCTATTGATAATACTCCTAATTCAATTATTATTTCTAATCCTATTAATAATAACAAACCATTACCTTATTATCAAATATCTAAATTATTTATAATGTGTGGTATTGTTTGTTTAGAATTTTTTTTTATTCATGTTATTTTAGCTATATTAATGAAAGGATTTGGTTTTCATGGTTATTTCTTTCAATCATTAATTTGTTCATTAATTGTCATTAATTTAATGTATTACAGATATAGTATGAATAAAAATATTATTACTCTTAATACTTTTATTCAAGAAATTCTTAAATTTAATAAAAATTCATTTCCAACACTTATAATTGCACTATTAGGATTAATTTGTATTTTATTTCTTCGAATCTTTTTATATTATTGTCATATTGATACTTCTGATTTATTTACTAATTTTTATACTGATGGACAATTAGATATTCCTATTATTATTGATACTCTTTTTTTCTCCGTTATAACTGAAGAAATAGCATTAAGGAGAAGTATGCTTAATACTATTAAAATTTATACTCAAAATCCTAAAAACTATCTTTTTATCATATCAGGAGTTTGGTTTGGTTTAATTCATTTCATTAATATCGGTACTTCTTCTTTTACTGTCCCTTATGTCTTCTTCCAAATGTCTTATGGCATGATCATCGGTTATACTTTTAGTATCTTCACTGAATCCCTTGGCATTTTCCCAACTATCCTTCTTCATTCAATGAACAACGCTCTCGCCATTATTAATCCTTTTGTTTTCTCTCCTTTCCTTCTTTTATATGCTACTTTATCCGCTTTATTATTCATTTATTTATCACATAAATTACTGATAACTCATTCTCTTTAATTTCTCTTTTTTGTTGTTTTTGTTTATCAAAAACCAAACAATAAATAAGTTACTTAAACTTTGTTCTTGTTCATCCAAAAGTTTTAGTGACTAAGCCCCTCGTCTATAATATTTTTATTTAACTTGGTTTATGGCTATTGAAAAGGTGCTGGTACATTTTAAACCATAAGAACAAGTAATAGCAATAAAAAATTGATAGTTGGATTTTAGTATTTTATACCGAACTATTGAAAAAAACATAAATCAAAACATTTTTGTTTATTGTTATAAACGTCATCTCATCAGTCATTTGGTTTTTCAAAATTCAGAATTGAATAATATAAATATCATAAAATTATTGAAACTCATATCATCATAAGAATTTATCATACTAGTACTAAAACAAGTTTGTTAAGAGGTGCTGACATAAAATTAGTGTATTTTTATTGTTGGATTATAAGAATGTATGATACACTAATGGACATAACACAAAGAAATTTTAAAGATAAATCACTAGTCTTGATTAGTTTAGTTGAATCATTTTCAATTTCACAACGGAGGTTATCAGTCAGGTTGTCATGTTTTGTTTAACATATTGAAACTAGACATATCTTCCTAGAACACTTCCAATAAAAGAACAATAAATTGCCATCAATAAAGTATTTTGAAATAATGTAACTTATGTCCTTCCTAATTAATATTATTATTTTCATTTCTAAGAAACATGTTGAATTTATTATGTAATGAGTATAATTTTGTTTACAATTAATAAAATGAATAAGCATCCAAATCACTTCTTATTTATGACTGGTAATGATGTTTAGTATATGATTTATGTTTATAACTATTGTTATGTTTACAATGCAATGCATATTATCCTCTCCAATGTCTTACTCTTTAATTAGTTTCATATTGTTAAATGATTAACAAAATAAATGTTAGTGTTTTTAGTATTATTAAATTTAACTACAATGTGATACGACCCTTTATTCGACTTAACAGTATTAAATCTTGACTTGACTAATTTAATAGAACATATTCAAGAAAATGATTTATTACAAACAACTTAACTTCAGTGATTATTTTGTTTTAATCAACATATGATACATTACCTACTTAAGGACTGAACCGGTATTGTTATTTTCACAATACTTTATTCTCTTACACTTCAATTTATTGTTATTGAATTCTTGATAATTTTGTTGTTGGTATGAGGATGAAAATCAAAAAAACATGAAATGCTTCATGGGTGTATTTGTACAGTAATATAGCAATGTAACATCACTCACATTGAGAGGATGTGACAGAAACAATTGATATTAACAGATAGATAAACAATAAATGTTTTCAATAAAAAAAATTAGAAATTAGTCCTGATTAAGAGTCTTGATAAGACAAAAAATGGACTTAAAACTATATGAACCATTCATTATTTTAAGACTGGCCTTTTATAAAAAGCTCGAATTACTTGAATTATCTCAACTTTTGAAAAGATAGTAAGTAAACAACAAGGGTAAATTCTTTCTTATTATGATGAATGAGTGAATTATATAGAAATTTTATTTATTTAATTCTTTTAATAAGTTTAAATAAAAGAAAATAAAAAAGAGAAAAATCAATTTAATAAGAAAAGTAAATATAAATTTTTATGAAATGATGTTTGGAAACTGAATAAAAGACCATTTCTTTTATAGATATAGAATTATTTATTAAAAAAAAACAATTGTTAAAGAAATGATTTTTTGTATGATATTTCATTTTTATTTACCTCAACTGAAATGATGACTGAAACTTAAAAAACTTATCATTTTAGAAGAGGTGCCACGTCAAGTTTAAAGGATAAATAGTTGTAATTCATCTGAATAGTCAGATGTTATGTGCAGCAAAGAAGTAAAACAACAAAAAAAAGAAGAGAGTTCAGTTACAAGTAAGCCCAGTGTTGATGTGAAAAATAAGCGAAAACATGAAGAAAATGTTTTTGGACAATGGGGGTTTTTGATTTATTACATTTTGTCAAAAGGTGGAAGTGTTACTATTAGGCCTTCTATCAAAAAACCAGTTATTGACAAAAGAAATCAAATAAACATACATTGTGTAGAGGTTGGTGAACATATTTTCTCTGAAGAAGGAATTCAAAAACAAGTAGATTTAATGATAAAGGGATCAGGTGAACAAAAGTATGTTACAAGGACTCGACGCAAATACGTTCATGATTTTCTCATGAACAGTATCTTAAATTGGTGCAAAGAAGAATCTAAAAAAGAAAAAATTCAAGTATCAACAAAGCTTTCAAAAAAAGGAAAGAATATAAACAAATCACCTAATATTGTAATTAACAGTGTCACTATTAATGGTAAAACTTATGATAGACATTTTATCAGAACAAATTGTGGTGATTGGCTAAAAAAAGTTCTTGAGTATTTGTTTGAAAACGTGCAAGCTAAAGATGAACTGGTAACAATTTCAAAAACAACTATCCCCCCTGATACAGTTATAGAAGGTATGAATCTTGAAAGTTTACAAATGAACACAAAAATACCAGAAATAAAGAAATTTAAACCTTCACCAACCACTAAAATTAATGGACTTGCTGGACATTACGATCCATGTGGACGATTAGTAATGTGGGACTGTCAACTATATCTGCCATTTTCTATAGAAGACAAATTAAAACCGATTGATTACTTTCCTCCATAGAATTAATCTAATAATAGTGGTAAATAATTTTTATTTTAATAGTTTTATAGTAGTTTTAGTTGTCTATAAATATTCATTACTTCATTATAAATGCGTCATCCAATCCTACTAAATAAAATGTATTCTTTCTTATTTAATTATGAATAAACTGATCGAGTAAGAAATATAAATAAATTTAATTATTGTAATGTTAATTTAAAGAAGTGAGTTAATTTTCAGTTTAATTAGTTAAAAAGATTTGGCATTGATACATAAGCGTAAACAGTCTTTTAATGTCATGACTAAAAATGCTTGCATGTAATAATTCAGAAATAGCCATATTACAAACAATATTTAATTAACCATCATATTATATCATTAAGATAAAAATAAACAATAACGTGTATTAAAGAAAACGAAAAATTTATAATGTGAATGAATGAACAAAAGAAAAAAATAAAACTCACAAAACAGAAGTGAACAGGTAAAGAACGTACGTTCAATTAATCTAAAGAATATGTAACAAAAATGAATTTGGAAATGTCTAGTTCTTAACAAGAAGAAACAGAAGGTTTTATTTGATTTTATTTCAGTTCTTGTAATATTAAAATAAGAAAGAAAGATAAAAGGAATGACAAAATTAACTATTATATATGTATTTCACTAATTTAGAATACTTAATTACATTAATACAAAGTATTCTATTGAAACTATTAACAATTAAATAATATAATATCTCAAAATAGATGTATAATTAAAAAACTCTTAATGAAAAGTTATTTTATATATACCAATTTTACAATTCTTTACAAAGCAAAGAATTTATAGAACTATAGAAATTTAAATTATTAATTAGTTATCAGTAAAAAATATTTCAAAACATATTTTTATAATCTATTTAAATAAATATCAATATTATTATTTTAATACTATTTTACATATATAGAAGTAAGCGATGGTGGGGTTGTGCCAAAAGACAAAACCATTTACCAACTTAACTTCAAAAAAGAAAATGAATAGATAAAACAGTCATTCATATCTAATGATTTCTTGGTCCTTTGTTTCCTCCAAAACCACCTCTGTTTCCACCAAAGCTTCCTCCTCTATTTCCACCGCGTGAACCTCTGTTGTTAAATCCACCACGAGATCCTCCTCTATTTCCACCACGTGAGCCTCTGTTATTGGATCCACCTTTAGCTCCACCCTTTGCACCTCCACGTTTAACTGGTGCTGGTGGGTTCTTCAAACGATCAACAGAGAAAAGTTTATCAGTATACAAGTAGATTTGATCATCAACACTATATGAATCAGGCTTAACTCCTTCAGCTGGAACAACACTAAAGTAATAATCATTTAATGGTCCAAATACTTCTCCAACTTTTCCTACCTCAGCTTTTTTGTCGTTGTAAACAATAGCATTAAAGGCTGGGTATTGTGTAGTTGATGTTGCTTTAAAAACCATAACAGTCTCAGCAGCATGTAAGAATTTACCATAAGGAACAAGTTCTCCACTTGGTTGTTGGTCACGTCCACCGAAAGAAGGTCTTCCTCTTCCTCTATTTCCACCACGTCCACCTCTAAATGACATTGTCTTCTAAAATTAAGTAAAGTTTGAGATCTCTTTTATAAAACCCTAATTATATAATTTATTATAAATAAATTAAAATTAACTATATTAAAAAAAAAAAGAAAACAATTAAGAATATGTAAATGATATTGACTCATTCATAATGTTTCAGAAAAATCTTGTTCAATATTAAATGAAATGTTATGGATAAAAATTAGTATCAAAGATAAAGAAACATCTATTGAAAAAATTCCTACACAATTATAATAGAAAGAAACAATGATTGCAAGAAATATTAAAGTAGGATATAAAGAAGTTTGATAATGGAAGATTTTTAAATAAGGGTTAACAAATAAAGCAAAGATTGGAATAACTAATATAATAAAAGTTGGTAATAACAATTCTTTATCAATTAATAAAAACAATAATTGAACAATAAGAATAATCAAAAAATACACAATTTCATACCTTTTAATATTATTAACTGCTCTTACCCATATTTGATTCCCATAAGGTACATGGTAATTCTTAGACAATACCTCTTCAAGTAATATTGTTAATTCATTGATTTTATTCATTATTAATAAGTTACACCAAAGAAGATCTAAATAAAACAACGTTCTTCATTTGATTTTGTTAAATTAAAATTATATTATAAAGTTATTATATTTTTTATTATTTAAATTTCAATCAAAAAGATCGATTTTTAATTAATTTTTATTTTTTTTATGAATTCTTTCACTTTTAGAATAACAAAAAATAATATTAAAAAAAAAAGATATTCAAATTTCCAAACAGAATTACTTTTCTCAACTATTTATTTAAGTAAAAGAACTTGAAAATTAGAATATGCGAATAATACTGTTAGTAACCTTTATTGCATTTTGTTATGCTAAAGTATTAGATGCAGAGACATTAGTAAAACTTCAAAAGTTATCACTTGGATGTCATTTAAATGGAGTAGTATATTATACATCAAGCCAATGGTTTGAAGAGAAATAAACAAGCACTCACTAAAGAATTACATTACGGAACTGAGCATTGATTAGTCATATAGTGAGATCATTT